TGTTTAATATAGGGAGAGACTGAAAGCATAATAAAACCCACCATGGTGTAGCACCTTGGTTGGTTGACCTGGGTACTTATTATGCTACACTCTTCAAACTCAGTTTCCTCATGTGTCCTGAGAATGTCAATGGCTTGTGTCTCACAGGACTCCTTGATGAGGAAATGGGGATAAAAGTAACTCCGTCCCCAGCACTCACACCAGGAGTGAGCTGTTTTAGTTTCATAACCAACAGCCGAAACACCCTAAATTCTTCTCAGGCTACAGGACCCAGGACTCCTCTAGGTAACTCTGGACTCACGTGGCACTTTCATTGTATGGTGTCTGATCAACCCATCGCCACTGTCGGTGACCTGGATCCGAAAGGCCAAGATAATAAGCAGCTTTAGGATCCAGGATCTTGGTGATAAAATCCTAAGAGGAAAGAGAGATACAGCATTCAGCCTGGTTGGAGTGTTTCTTTTTCTGTTATAGAATTTGTATAAGATCTTTTAAAAATTATTTTAACCATAAAAAATTATAGGTCCAATATGATGCACATATGCAAATATTTAATAATCAAATCCTATTCCTCTCACTAGGCCCTTAAATATTTCTGAAATTATAGATTAATACACAATAATTATGCTTTTTAGAGGTACTCTGTGATATTTTGACTGACTTATTTCTGGTCACACAGAGATAAAAAGACAAAGAAAGGATCAAGGAATAGAGGAGCCACCCCCACCCCAGGAGTGCCATCTTCTCTGGCTGACCAGGACACAAAGTCATCACTCAGAGGCCTGATTTCCATGACATTGGAAACAATCTCTGTCCATGATAATAATGAATTCTCAACTCAGATTCACTCCATCTTTTCTTCCCCAACACCATTCTTGAAAGTTGTGCATGAGAGAATTTAGCAGATTTAAACATTCTCCATTCATAACCTCAGATATTTCATTTCTTATTGTTGGCTGTGACTCTCCTGATTCGATCCCCTTTCCCTGTTCAGCTCTGTGCCCTCCTCTGTTAGGCAGTGGGTACTACAGGAAGCATTAGAGTGCTGAAATTACAAACTGCTCTTTCAAGCAGAAACATTTCATCCTTCCCTCCACCCTCAGGTGTTGCATTTCTGTTACCATGGTTCCTTGTGGGTTGTTCAGCTTCACTGAAGCAGGGACAAGGGGTAGAATGCCAAGGCTGAAGCAACCTTTCCAGCTTCCTGATGGAAAGCTTTCTGCCACACCAGCAACACCCATGTCAACAAAACTTTCTCTTATTAAAAAGAAACAGACAGCAGGCCAGGTCCAGGCCCCACTCTCTCCCAGGATGCACCTGCTCCTCCTGGCTGTGGATCACCATCAGATGAGCACCCATGCTGGAGCAGTTCTCCTCACTCCCACTCCAAGATGCCGAATCAGTGGAAATGTAGTAGCAGTGGGAACTAAATAGCTTCCAATCCTTTGGGCAACAGCTCCAGACTTTGTGTTTGGACGAGAAAGGAAATGTAAGTGCAAGATGAAGCCATTTTAAAAGCTGCTTGATGTGGAGAGCACATGGAATCTGGGACTCCCCAAATCTACAGAT